AAAAAAAAAAAAAAAATGAAATAAAATAAAAAATTGGTTGGAGCAGCACAACATCCCTTTTTCTTCTGTTTTATTCATACACATATACATTCCATATGCACATGTGTATGTATTGTTTCCCTCTTCCTTTACAACCCTTGGTGTTCCCTTTATTGCAGTACTCTCCTCTTCTTCTATTTTTTTTTTTCCTATTTGTGAATACCAGCGGAGACATTACCATGTGAGAAAAACTTATGCAGCAATTACTTATACCAACAATTAAAGAAAGGTAATAATGACAGAGGAAGGGGTACAGCAAAGATATATCCAATCTTTTTTTTTTTTTTTTTTACCCTCCTACCAAAATACACACGACAGACATATATATACTTTCACTGTTACTTTGAAGATTGCGAGCTGCGATCCTTGAATACATCCCCATCATCATAGATGCTCATGTCCATTTGGCTCATAACCCGCACGGGTTCCGGCATGATAACGGGCTCCGGCATCATTGGTACGGGCATCGGCGCCATCCAGTCGGGTTCGAGATCCCGCGATGAGGCCGTTGACGACCGCCGCCGGAGTTCCATATTTCCCCACCGCCCGCCGTTGCGCATGACAGTCGTGCGGTGCGAAGTGACGCCGCCGTATCCCATTTTCCCGCGCCGCTGCAGACGGCGGGGCTGCGCCACGTCCTTCCCGCTCACTTCGCGATGAGTGCCGACGGCCCGCGCCCCGCGGTGCTCGAACGCCTCCTCCCGCTCCGCCATGTCGCCGTAGTACATCTTCAGCTCCTCCTTCTCCTCCATGTTCGTCAGGAAGACCTCCTGGGCCAAGTCGCGGGCACTCATGCCGCGCGAGAGACTGCTGGGGCGCGAGCCTCTGGAGTAGATACTTCCGCTACGCGCTATTTTGCCAGTGGACTGGCCCGCCTCAGACGGCGGATTGCGGAAGGATCGACGAGAGAGTAATTCTCCACGATCCTCTTCGGTCATAGGGCCACACAAGGATTTCTTGCGCTGCATCGGTTCGCCGGATCGTCGCGATCCCGTGGATGGGGGTGGACCCTGTGTGTAGATATCATATCCCGCCTGATTATATAAGGGCATCTCGCCAGGGGCAAATTGAAACCCGAATCCTCCCTGCGGAGGGCCATACATGCCAAACTGCGGTGGATAGCCACCCGGACCCATTGGTTGGTACATGGGAAATGTTCAAAGAACTCTTGTGATTTTGTTGATATTCTACTAATAAAGAAGAGTATACCTATATATATATATATATATATATATATATAGATATCGATATATATATTTATATATAGAGTGTAAATACCTTCGTTTCGTTTCTTATGCCTATCCACCACAATGCGGAATATTGAAGTATAAAATCCTTCACCCAGATGTGGTGGGGTGAAAGACTTGTGATTCGGTTTGCTCTTTCTTGATTGTTCTTTACATATTTAACAGTAGAAATAAATGGAAAAAGAGTAAATCATATTTTGATACGAGAAACAACTATCATAAAGAGGGAATTCAATCAGAGATTATAACAACAATCAACGCAAAAAAGATGACGGTAAAAGATAATACAGAAAAAAGTATATAAAAAAAAAGACCAATATGTAAGTAATAAAGAAATTAAAAAACAAAAGTAACGCAAATAATTTGGGGGAGAGGGGGGGGGGAAAGAGTATGTGAAGATCCTCTAGTGCAAACATATATCATGCTGGCAATGAGAGATGAAAATAAAATACAAAATATATGGAGTAATTACACAGAATCCATCCAGAGCTCGTTTTGCATTCTTCTTCTTACTCTCCACGTCATTCCACACCAAGCCCCGGACTTATTATTCCACCAAAGAATAAAAAAAAAAACCCAAAAAAAAATGTGGTGGAATAAAAAAGACCTAACGATGAAGAGGTAAGAAAAAAAAAAAACAAAAATAATAATAATAATAACCAAAACATTACTAGGTGAGCAGATCTACCCACGGTAGCTACAAAATAAAAATAAAAAATGAAAATAAGGTCGAATTATAAAAACAGATACATAAGTACATATTACTGATTTACAAGAGATATCTCTTTCCACCCACCTCATATAACATTTTCCTTTTCCCTTTTTCTTCTTATTCTATCTATTTTTTTTTTCCTTTTCTTTATTTTATCCGCTGTACCACAGCAGAAAATAGGAGCTGTTAATACCAAACAAATGGGGTGGAAAAAGAAAGAAAAAAAAAACTAACAACCAAATCAAATGCGAGTTCGCGCTCTGGAGAGGGCCACATCACAACATGTGGTAGAAACAATGATAGTTTTGTGTGCACGATAAAAAAAAAAAGAAATGATGATAAAATCAATGTAGTTCTCTAATGTAATCATATAGCAAAACCACAGAACGATGGTAATCAAAAATAGAAAAAAAAAGTCATAACAATAAGCAAAAAAAAAAAAAAANATATATATATATATATATATATACGAGGGGAAAATCTTACGGTACAGACAGACGACGATTTGCTGTACAAAGAAGAATAATAAAGAAACTAAAAAGAAAAAGTAATAACGGGGAGGTATTGCGGTAGATACAAGGAGTTTTCATTAACCATTTTCAGTTATTTTTCTTGGTTGGAAATTACCCATACACGTCCACGCGTGTATAACGGATATCCTTTATATGAGAAATGGGTAAAATGAACCAAAAAATTAAGATATAAACAGTGTTTATTTATTTTCGTTCACTTCTTCTTTTTGTTTTTATTATTCATTTATTTACTTATTTATGAACTAGTCATGAGACCTAGTTGGGGGTGTAAGTTGGAGGTACAACACCTTTTGGTTTTTTGAGTAACAGCACGGCATCATTCAACATCCCCTGAAGTTTCTCCATCTGTGCTGTCAATATTTTCTTTGCCGATCTTTCTTCTTTTTCCCGCATTCGTTTTTCAAGAATCTTCAGTGACTCCCTGGCGAAATTCACAAATCCCCGCACACTACCGTAACGGGGATTCCCACATGGAAGAGCGGCCATATTAGTGAGAGTATCCATCAAATTATGTACTTTCCCCTCGTTATCGGTGGAAGAAAGAGAAGCCACACATACTGTTAAACATGGTCCTTCATATATATATCGTAAAAGAGTACGATCCATCTGAGATTTAACATCTGAAGATTCTAAATATATAGAAGGATTACCTCCCACCATGGCAAAGAAAAGTGAACTCAAGACAACATCATTTTCATCCCTTTTCACCCGTTTTAGGACCAATTGTACTGCAATCATTGCCCCTTCTGATGCCTTCAGGGCATATGATATACCTTCTTGTAGTTGTATTATATCCTTTAAAGGGATGAGTTTAGCACCTTTTATTAACGCTCCAAAAATGGGTGAAACGTCAAGTTTATATTCTCGGAAAGTATCATCTGGAATAAGAAGATCACGAGCCTTATTATTTTTTAAAGCGATCATCGAGAGAAATAGTTCACTATCCGTATTAAGTGATGCTAAAATACGTTTTACCGTTAATTTTAATAAATGAACTTCATCTTTAAAAGATACAGATGAAAGTGTAAGTACTGCTGTGTTTAAACCAGTAAGGAAACCTCGAATTAATTCATCAAATAACTTGGAATTTAAACTTGAGGTGAAACTCTCTTGGGAGACAACTTCATTCACAGGGTATATGTTACCATTACCATTTTCATCCATAACGTTCACTTCTGCTCCATACTTTTCTGCCGTTACGAGCATACGATCAGAATATGCTGTTTGAATAATAACCAAAGTGGAAACGGTTTTGTTTTTCTTACAAAAGACCTTCTCTGTGGAATTAAGAACATTTTGACTCATGCTTGCGTCATCTAGTACAGCAAGTTCATCCAACAAAGTGGTTAACAAGGGTTCAGAAATATTGGTATAGGAAGGAATAGGTGCCTTTTTAAAATCATTCAATAAATTCTGATGATCCCTTAGAATAGTTTGACATAATTCAATAACGTCCGCTTGTTGCCTTCCCAAATCCGCCTTTCGCATCTTTCCATTCACTTCTTCATATGTTTGCATTAATCCCTTAACAGTTGGGATTTGAATACGCATCGGGTGGTAAATAAGAACTTGTACCTCATTTGGCACAGATCCCTTATCTTTCTCTTTCAACATGCAGAGTGTTGTGTATGGACAGCACATAATGCCAGTGAGAAGCAGCGTTGTTGCTGTTGGTACCAACTGAGGGGCATCGCATGTAGTCGCTGTGGTGTGCACAACAGACGCACGTGTCACTTTCACATCACCGTTCGTCATTCGTCGACGTTGTGTTGCACAGAATATAAGCGCTGCGCCGTGCATCATCACATCTTCGCGGTGTTCTTCCGCTTGTTTCCACGCGGCCGTGCAAACTTCCCTCGCACGGAAGGCGTTCGATACACTCACAACACGAACTGACGCCGGCGTTGGTGGCACAAGCGGTGAGGAAGATAAAGACAATGGGACACACTTCTTCACATTCACATTAGTAGTAGTAGTACGAGGAGAAGCAAGAAGATCGACTAACAATGTATCCCCACACACAACGGCGCAGAGAAGATCCATCACTACTTTTTCACCGGAGGAAACATTCTGAAAAACATCAGTGATGAGTTGCTGCACGCCCTTCCACAACACATCCTCCTCGTACGAGAGCGGCAGAGGAGTTGTAGTGACAATGGCAATATGGTGTTGCGTGAAGAAACGGGTACGCAGTGATTCCAGTGCTTCTCCAACTGGAGGGGCTTTTCTGCAGCGGGATAACACATACCTTGTTCCATTAGTATTATTATCATCCCCATTATAATGATCATTACCATCATTCGTGGCTTTTTCCGTCAAATACATTACTCTGTTTTTCATTTTCATCCTTGTGGGAGAAGAAGAAGAAATTGGGGGGAGTTGTATACTCGGCCCTTGTAAAGCATCATCTATCATACGCGTCTGCGAAGGTATCACGTCCTGCTTTACTTTTCTTTCTTTTTTTGTTTCCATCTCGTGGGTTGTAGAAATATTCCTGATAGTATGATTATCTTCTTTCCAGTTTTTCTTAGTTACCATGTTGACTTTATTTTGAATATTACCCCTTCTCGTCGGACTAAGAGGAGATACAAGAGATGTTATCTCTTGGGTACCAATTTTTCTATCACCGGTATCGCCCTTGTGGAGAGTGAGCATCAATACACTCGGTAGTTGATTAGATAATATATATTGGAAAAACGCTTGGATTGAATGCGTCCAATTCTTTTCGAGATGATCCTCTTCCTGAAGTTTTGTATTCTCTCCAGTCATAGATGCAATGAAGGAAGATACAACGACGGTATTATTCCCCTGTTTCACTAGAAGCCCTAAAGAGACAATTACAACACTTTCTTTATCCAAATTCCCTATGGCATGCTTCTTCGCCATTTCTACCATTTCGTAGAATACCTCTTCGCTTTTTACCACATGTGCCTCCACTCCATTCAATACTGGACCAAAGAAGGGCAAATACACAACAGAGACTTCTTCTTTTATTTTACCATCCGCCTTCACGAGATCCATTACCATACCTTGTGAGACCAGGGCAATCGATATGCGGAGTTCCGCACGGCGTAGACCAAACACTCCCCGTACGGCTTGTTGAATAACAGACCACGCGGGTGATTCCATGGGTGAGTTTACAACAGAATGTGCATCCACTGCAAGAAGTGCCACGTTTTCTCCAAGAAGAAATCGGTTGCATAATTTTCTAATTCGTTTAGATGGAACCCCCATGGGGTTTACAGCAGAGAGTTCAACAAATTCCGCTTCTTCAATCATACTTTTTTGTAATTTTAGTTTATCATTTACGCATAAAAGAGAATCCGCATCGATACCTTTATAAGAAAGTACAACCACTCCAAGTTCGTTCACCATTTTTTTATTCTTGTTTGAAATGAAACTTTCAGATTCAAGACTTTGTTTATTATGTAAACCACATGTTCTTCTTTCCAATATGACGCTCCAATCACTATCTTGACAGTTCATTCTATCCGCCCTATTGAAATCATCTGATGGGTACTCAGTAACCATATTATCACGAGTACTCAAGAGTGGTAGAGATGTATTGGTATTATTATTATTATTATTATTATTATTATTATTATTCCTCTTTTCTGTATCTTCTGGTAAAGTGTTTATCACTTTTCGTGAAGACCCAGAGAAAACATCCACAGAGACATAATCTTTTTGATGTTTCGTTTTCTGTATTTCTTCCTTGGGAGATGGATATGATATTTCTCTAGAGATTTCTTTTGCCTCATCAATGCAAAAACCACGAACAAGGGTACCTGATGCCTTCATAATTCTTTTTAAAAGAGAAGTGTACACACTCGTTTCCTCTTCAAAGGACTTGGTAAATGGTTTTACCCCACCCTTAGAAAACATTATTTCAAGTGAAGAGGAAAGCATTACATCTAAATCTTTTCTCTGACGTTTAATGGTTAAATTCCCGAAAATAAGAATATCTGAAGCTGTCGTATTCTTTCTGAGTTTCTTCACACACCATTCACAGTCTTTATTTGTACTAATATTAACTGCAATATGTTTGAGTGCCTTTAAACCCATATCAAGTACTTCTTTCACTGTGATTGGTTTGTCAAATGCCCTTTTCCTTTTTCTGGGAAGCATATCTTTTAATATCCCATTTTGAATAGTATACAAAGCCAACGTCATGGTAAATGATTTTTTATTGTCTGTCACCTCAGAATTTAGTTGTTCCAAGATATCTTTCAGTGTCGTTAGAAATATCATAATCATCTGAGACATTGTCTTTTCATCCCATGAAAGTAAAAGTGCCGCCTTATTACCATTTGTAAGATCATTAATCATACTAGATAAGACTTTTGAATGAATTTTTTCCTGTACTCCAGAGTTAATAACCACAACTTCATTCACCATGTAATTACGTCCCCCAAATGAAATCATATCGCCTTCATTCTTTAACAATGGTACCATATTGGGCTTTGTAATATTTCCAAACACTACCAGAGTACGAATTTGAAGATTTTTTAGTAGATTAGAAATATCCCAATGAGATGATATTGATGATAATGAGAATGGATCTTCCAAGATTAGAAAAGGAGACTTCTGCATTGAAGCCTCATCTTTTCCCCAAAGAAAAACTTCTCCCCTTGATAATTCTTTTGGGGATTCCAGTTGTTCTTGTTTTTGTTGTTGCGGCTCCACTTTTTCAAGGTTTACTCTGGTTTTGATAAAAGTAAAATGTGATTCTGATTCTTTCTTGGGCTCATCACAGATGAAAAGAGATGATTTACCCTCCAAACTTCCAACTGATAATATAAAAGAAGAAATTCCTTTCGGTTTTGATATTGTATTCAATTGGAGATTTTTTTCATATCCCGGGTTGCAATCCGCAACACTAGCTAGAGTCAAAGTACCAGAGTTATGAAAGATGATATCCAAGTTCTTTATACCTTCCATAGTATGATCGCATTGTTTGTATTTCAACTCATATTCAACACCAAAGCTGTATGTATGTACAAGATCGCTTTTGCTTTTCTCCCAAAAACTTCTTCTCATAGAAGAATAGTTTATATTATTTCCTCGCCATGAATCCACTCTTGCACTAGACATCATGCAGTGGATATACACAGCATCTGGATAGGGAGATAGTTTATCATTCTTTGGGCAAAAACAATATGTTCTACAACCAGGAATCATCATATCGTTACTGGGAGAAGCGTTCGTGTTATTCACCAACAATCCTTCAGCCATGAAGTTTGATGTGAGATTGAATTGAAATTATTATTTTAAAAGCACCAGCAGAATTTCCCCTGCAACTGCCGGCTAGATGTCTTCTTAAACCTATTTTTTTTTTTTGTTGTTGTTGTTGTTGTTTATGTATAAAAGTTGAAGAGAAAATGAGAAATCATTACTTTAGAGAAAGAATCCATGTACAATACATGATTCTGGAAATCAAGCAATCCAACAGTTTAACAAAAGTTTAAGCAAAATAATTAATTACAGAATCAATACAATCAAACAATGAACAAAACGCATATGCACATTAGCATTAATATTGGAAAGAAAACAAGGGAACTATGACAAAAAAAAAAAAAAAAAAAACCGAAGGGGAAAAAAAAAAATGTCTCGGAATGAGTAGCAGTTGGTCATTTGCAAGTTCGTGAACCCTTCTTGCGATCACGCCGATTAGAAGAGCAGGGGAACAACAGAACAAAACAAAACAAAAAAAAAAACCCTTTTTTTTCTTTTTTTTTTTTATTATTATTATTACCAACTTGTCAAAGAAGAAGGATGTTCACAAACACACCACACACTCCCCTTAAAATGAGAAAGGAAAATCGACGGATCAAAAAAGCAAGAAAAAAAAAAAAAAAAAGTAACGTGAGTCCAGTCACCACTAATAATACCACTATGAAGACTTGATGACAGATACACACACAATTACAACAATCTAACATTTCTTTTTTTTTTTTTCTTTTCAATTTTATTTTTATTATTATTATTATTATTATTATTATTATTATGATTATTATTGTCAACATGACACTATGTTGAGAATCTACACATGGATTTACCACAAGGAGAAAGAGAATGGAAATGAAACACATGACAACGAAGTTCCATTGCGTCATCTACACCTTCTCTGAGTGAACCCGTTCGAAGACGAAAAAAAAATAGATGATGAAAAAAAAAAGCAAGAAAGGACGGGAAATATGAAAAAACAAGAAATAAATAAATAAAAAACATGATTCTGTAGTATTTTATACCTTACTTAAAAAAAAAACCTCCTTCTACTCCATTCTACTGGGATACTCGGGAAAAAGCAAGACCAAAAAATAAATCATCATTTCATTTTTTTGCAGTTTTTTTCTTTTTTTAATCTTTTTCACATGAGTGGGGTATAAAAGCGCAAACATGGTTGTATGTTTCTCATTGCCTCTGTTGCTATCCCCTCGTCTCATTTTCTTTTCTCATCTTCATAATAATACGGATGCATAGAACGAAAGAACAGAGGCAATGAGGTACCCCACACAAAGAAAAAAAATAAAAAAAAAATATAAAAACCCCTATGAAGAGATTATAAGATAACAAAGCACATCACTCGGCTTCAATAAATAAATAAACAAACAACATAACCAAAGATAAAAGTACAAGAAAGAAAGATTTAGTTTCGTTTCCTCCCTTACTTTTATGTCAGTTCCGGAACAAAGGAACAAACGGGTTAACGAAAAAAAAAAAAAAAACAAGGAAGTTGAAACAATCGTAAGAGACCGCTCCCTCCCCCTTCTCCTTCTCCCCCCTCTAGAACATGAGATCTTAGAATATCCATGATCATTAAGAGAAGAACGAACGATACAATATATATGGGAAACATTTGATTGTTCGTTCTATTGTAGATAGAGGCTGAAAGGCAGGAAAAAAAAAAAAAAAATGAGTTACTCAGAGAAAAAAAAAGGCAACCAGGTTGCGTGCCCATTAAGAGATGGTGTTCCCCATCCCTTTTCTTTTAATAATAATTAGCATTTCCTCCTTTACGAATGCTGCTTGTACACCTTTGGTGAACGATCCTTCGGATCTTTCAGCATCTCCTCTGCTTCTTTGAGAGCTGCCTCCAGATTTGCACGATTGGCATTCCTGTGTTCATTCTCGGAATCTGTTCCCGATTTCGAATGAAGATGAAATTGCGCAAGTGCCTTCATGGAAAAGGCTATAAAGCGTCGTAGACTACCAGAACGTGCAGCGGGGTTTGCACTGCCATTTACTTTTTCTGCAAGTTTCCCCATTTCCATTGCAACCTCTGCTTTGGGAGTGTTTGCGGTGAGACCGAGAACAAATGAGGTGACACAAGGTCCACCAAGTGCCAACTGTAGGAGTCCACGCTCCCTATTTCGTGTCTCCAATGCTTTTGTGTACACCCCCACGTTACTGCCTGCCAACACTGTGAGGAAGGAAGACATCATCACATCCTTCTCCGACACCCGCACCTCCTTGTGAATCAGAAAACTGTACAACATGGACTTATCGGACTCACACACAGCAATACCAGCCTTAAGGCGCGCAAGAAGTTCATCAGCCGTTTTCATCCGCGTCATCGTCGCAGCAGCGACACATGGGCCAAAGAGTGGTGAAGCGGCGACCACCAGTGGTTCATAGTCCGCACCAGCGCGCTGAAGATCTTTTGCCGAACTTCCATCAGGTTTTACAGCAACGAGGGCAAGGTACACCTCGCTATCTGTAGCGACCTTTGCATACACAGCTCGACTTGTACGTTCCAGTAACTCAGCACCAGAGGTAAATCCTTCATCATCAGCTGTCAATAAGGCAACGTTACACCCCTTGAGAAATTGAGCAACTGTTTCATCAACTGTGTTAGAACGAATAGTGGAGACCTGTGGGGTACGTTTCACCACCTCCGCCACGGGGAACTTTTTCTCCCCATCAGTACCTTTAACAGTAAAGTCATTCTCACCACCTGTCACATTGGGTGTGCCACCACCACCACGTTTTTCCGTAATAACAGCCACCACACGAACCTTAGAATCAGCACGATTCTCGCTCTCACTGTCTTTCGTCATTTCCAATGGGAGATATACAGCGGGTTGAGTCTCATTTGGTTTCTCCAAAAGTTTTTTGTAGTCTGTGATGCACCGCTTTAGATATTTCAAACTTTTCTCAGTGTGCTCCTTTTCTGATTCAGTGGCTTTCTTCACTTTCTCTTCTGCTCCTGGCAACATTCCCTCCATATATGTAACGCACTGTTTGACACTACCAACACGCGGCTTACCGGCAACCAAGTCCATCTTACGATGAGCATTAAGAGCTTCCTTAACCTTTTCATCCATAGCCGCATACGTAACAAGCATAGCTGTTGAACATGAACCAGTCATAGCGTGTCCAAATAGTTGACGTGAGTAGTTCGGATTTCTCTCCATTATTCCTACAGTAGGCCTCATATCAAGTGAACTCACAACAAACAAGGAGGACAACTTCACATCATTTTCAAGGATTTGTTTTAAGACCGCCGTACAAACAATAAACTCATCATCCTTTACCAAAAATATAGCTTTTTTGAGAGCAGCTTGAAGAGCGACATCCACGTCAGATTCCTTCTTCAACACTTTCGGCTCTGCTCCATTTACCACCACACCGAATATTGGGGAGCTGGCAACAACCAGAGGTTGCGCCTCCGTTTTGCCAAACAAATCTGAAATTACTTGTCTGCCTTTAACAACACTCATATAGAGCGTCATTTCTTTGGTGACACCAGTCTTCTTTTCCAGAGCGCCTTTTAATATTCCCTCCACAAGTTTCCATACCACTTGTTTGTTGATAGCCAACCCTGGAACCATCTCCGCAGCCAAGAGTCCCGTGTTGTATCCATCTGATAGAACAGCTTGCATTCTTTCAGCAACCTTCGACGTAACTGGGGCACCTTCAGTTGTTCCAATATGTTCTTCCACTGTATACTTCTTCTGTTCACCTTTCACGTCAAATTCAATGTGATTGCTTTTAGGCTTCGACCCAACAGCCACCAGAATTTTAAGACACTTCTGCCAAGGTTCAGCACTTTTTTCTACAGCATTATCAGCATCTTTACCCTTTTTGTTACTTGACGGGGACAGACCATTAGACTCCTTACTAGCTCCATTAGAACCAGCATCGTTCATTGACCTCACCTTACTGGGGCTTAAAGCGGAGACAGGTTTTCCTGCATTCTTTACTTCAACCTTTTCCGCTTCAGCACTGTGAGCTGTTGAGGGTTGTAAAGAAGGATATACCTTTGGTTTACTCTCCGGTTTGTCCATAAGTTCCTTTCCATCAGCCAACATTGTCCTCAACTTTTGTAACATTCGTTCATACTGAGATCTTTCTTTGCTATCCTTGGCTGAATCCACGGCAGCAGCAGTTTTATTTTCCTGCTCTGTAGTAAAATCCATAAAGCGGGTAAGGTTACCGCTACGTGGAGCGTTGGTCTTCACACCACGCAGTTTTTCAGCGTTCTTGAGAATTTTGGCCTCTGTTGCAGCATCACTCCCAGAGAGGGCAGTAACAACAAGTGAACGGTTGCAACCTCCGACAACCTCCTTGAATAGAGGCACAGGCACGACCTTCTCATCCTTGTTAAAAATACCAGCAAGATAATCAGCATTCTCCCGGACAAAAACCAACAGGACAGACGAGAGGTAGACATCACCCTTCCCCCCAGATGACTTCTTGATCTGTTTAAGAGCCATATGTAGTACAACTGTCTCCTTCGTGTCTGATGATTTCTTCAGTGCATCCTGCAGGAGTTTCTCAGCGTCCTTTTCGCTCTTCACTGATTTCTCCTCGAGATTTAACAGACAGACACCATACAGAGGGTTCGATCCAAAGCGAACAGGCTTGGCCTGTGCAGATGAACTGGCGAACAAGTCTTTGGCAGAGTCAGGTGATGGCATCGCGACAGCAGTCATATGAGCATGGTACTTGAGCCCCTTCGCCCCTTCATCCTTTGCAAGCTTTGCCATGATGGCTTTCATGAATGTCTGTGCAACACCCAAGCTCGTATCCTGAGCGTTCTTGGTGCTAGCCAAGATAAGAGCAACATTGTGACTTGCTTCCACTTGTTGGAGAAGTTCTTTTAGCAGAATGGAATTTTCAGCTGTCACCTTGCTCGCGCGTAACACTTCATCCGCCTCAAAATCAACCATCTTGCCATCGGAGTCCTTAACTGTGACCTTCTTTTCAGCTTCCTTTAGAGTGACCTTGGAGCCAGCGTTGTCGGTTACTGCCACCAATGAATGTATTCGGTCTTCAAGCAGAATTGGATCGTCAGTAGATGTTTTTATTTCTTTCGGTACGGCTCCAAGTTCTCTGGACTTTCCATCTGTCTCAGTTCCTGCATCCATCTTGGGTTTGCTCTTTCCTTCTGACGTTGAGTCAGACTTTACTCCATTCCTTTCTTCCCTGTTCTCTTGAGACTTTGTGGCTTCCTGAGGCTTTGTGGCTTCTTGAGGCTTCGTGGCTTCTTGAGGCTTTGCGTTTTCTAGAGACCTTGCGTTTTCTTGAGCCTTTGATTTGTCTTCAGTCTTTTCGTTTTCTTGAGACTTTGCCTTTTCTTTGGATTTCGGTTTTTCTTGAGCCAGCTTGGTCGATGAAGTATTCACTGGGAGGTCAGGATCCTGCTTTCTCTTTATGTTATAGTCAGATGTGGGAGCCCAGAGACCACCAATGCCCATAAAGCTAGTACCAGCACCTCCCATACCGTACATGCTGCCCATACCTCTTTGAGAACCATACATAGAACCTCCCATGCCGTACATAGAACCTCCCATGCCGTACATAGAACCTCCCATAGGACCTCCCATGCCGTACATAGAACCTCCCATAGGACCTCCCATACCATACATAGAACCTCCCATACCGTACATAGAACCTCCCATAGGACCTCCCATGCCGTACATACTCCCCATACCCATAGGACCTCCCATGCCGTACATAGAACCTCCCATACCGTACATAGAACCTCCCATACCGTACATAGAACCTCCCATAGGACCTCCCATACCGTACATAGAACCTCCCATAGGACCTCCCATGCCGTACATAGAACCTCCCATGGGACCTCCCATACCGTACATGGAGCCCATTTGGCTACCAGGTCCACCTCTGCCATACGTGCTGCCGTAGCCACTCATTCCGCCAGGACCTCCCATTCCTTGGCCGTAAAACGAACCACCGCCTGGACCATTCATACCATACGCGCTACCACCACCCATAGAGCCCTGCCGTGAACCCATCCCACCGTACAGGCTTCCGCCTCCCCCGTACATAGAACCATTATTTTGGTTCATTCCAGCATATGCACTGCTCGGGTTTCCCACAGCACCGTAGGCGCTGCTTTTTTGGTTCCCCACCCCTCCATACGCGCTGCTTCCTTGGTTTCCCACTCCTCCATACGCGCTGCTTCCTTGGTTTCCCAATCCTCCATACGCGCTGCTTCCTTGGTTTCCCAATCCTCCATACGCGCTGCTTCCTGCTCCGTATGCTGATCCATTGCGCGGCATGCCCGTTGTACTTGGAGGGGGGGCTCCTGCTCTGTTACTCATTGTTCTTGGAGGGGGTGCTCCTGGTCTGGCACTCGTTGTACTTGGAGGGGGGGCTCCTGGTCTGGTACTCGTCGTACTTGGAGGGGGGGCTCCTGGTCTGGTACTCGTTGTACTTGGAGGGGGGGCTCCACTCGGTGCTGGCTTTCCACTTCCCACACTGCTACGACGCGCGAGAGCCCTATTGTCGCCTCCACTTGAAGAGCTCGGTAACGTTGACTGGGGTTTTGCAGTACTGGAGCTCTTCGTGGACGTCGTTGTTCGTCCACTTGACCTCCGGTCCAGCATTCCAGGTTTTTTGGCACTTGACATGGTGTTATTCCTTTATACTTTTTTCTCCTGTAGTTCCTTGTTTGTTTGTTTTTTTTTTTTTTTCCGTTCGGTTTGCTTCGCTTAGACTGACTTTATATAAGGAAATAAAGAGGGAACAAATCGAAACATAAATCCCAGAGGTCACTTCTTTCCGGTACAGTAAAAAAACAGCATAACATGCGCGGAGTTGCAGGAGCAACAAATTTTGATATCACTGAGATCAGAGAGAAAAAACAAGAACGATGGTCAGAAGAAAAAAAAAAAAACCCGAAGACAATGAAAGAAAAAAAAAAAAATGAGTTAATGAAAATAGCATTGAAGAACAAAATAGGGTAAGGTTCTTTAAAAAAGACTTGTTTCCTGCACTGTTAAAAAAATGGTATCATCATCAGCCCCAAGTACGTTCCCCAAAGCGAAACAGAACAGTTCCACTTTCATGCCATTTACCGTAACAATGGGAGTAAATACCGAAAAAACGGAAGGCAGGGGGTGACAACTACAAAGAAAACCATCTGTAGTACAAGAACAAAAAAAAAAAATAAAAAATGACAGAGAGGTGTAAGCATTATCAACCATCAGTAGAAATAGGAAAAAAAAAGTGAAAAGCAGGAAAAAAGATAAAGAAAGAGAGAAGGGGAGAGAATGAAAGATTCCATGGCCCATTTGAAGTCAGATTTCTCTAAATCCCCCAAAATATCACGAAAAAATCGAGAAATGGAGATATGCGGAAAGCAAAAAGAGAATACATTAAAGAACCGAACGAAGTTTCTCATGACCACGGTTCTATTTTACTTTACCCCAACGACCCAATACCTCTCTTTCTCTTTTAAATGAAACAAGGGAAAAAAGGAGTTTTTTTCTCTCCCAGAAACGCATGAAAATCTACACAGCAGAAGCACGCTACAAGAAAGAGCACGATGAAAGAAGGGAACGACTCAAAAACATAAAACCAACAACTCAACGCAGATAAAATATCATTTTTCTTTAACTTTTTGGCCAACAAAGGTCAAATTCATGAAACACGTATTCATACTCAGATAAAAGAAACTGGAAAATATGTGACAATGACATTCTGATCAGGCAATCCACAATAGCTCCCATGACAAGCACAATAAAATAAAATTGAAAAACAGAAATAAAATCCTTTCCTCCATGCCTCTCAATTCCCATATGACTATACTTTAAGGGCCATTATCAGATTTTAAATTAATAACCACATAAAAACAAAACATAACACTTTTACCATTTACACCGATCGACATGCTGTTAAAACACCTTTTTACAGCCCTGCAATACAAAAAAAAAAAACTAACTAAAACAAAGAGAAAGGCAAATTTTGTTTAGAAAAAACACAATTACAAATTGTAGTAGGACGTGTTAGTGGTCCTTTAATCCTTTGAGCGGGGAGGAACATATACCTTTGGTTTTGTAGTCTCTGGTTTGGCCATAAGTTCCTTTCCATCAGCTTGCAGGACCCTCAACTTTTGTAAATTTCGTTCATATTGCGCTTTTTCGCTACTACTCTTTGCTGAATCCACGGCAGCAGCAGCCTTCTTTTCCTGCTGTGCAGTAAAATCCATAAAGCGGGCAACGTTGCCACTGCGTGGAGCGGTATAATTCAAACTCCGCAGCTTTTCAGCATTCTTGAGAATTTTGGCCTCTGTTGCAGCATCACTCCCAGAGAGGGCAGTAACAACAAGTGAACGACAGCTGCCTCCGACAACATCCTTGAATAGAGGCACAGGCACGACCTTCTCATCCTTGTTAAAAATACCAGCAAGATAATCAGCATTCTCCCGGACAAAAACCAACAGGACAGACGAGAGGTAGACATCACCCTTCCCCCCAGATGACTTCTTGATCTGTTTAAGAACCATATGTAGTACAACTGTCTCCTTCGTGTCTGATGATTTCTTCAGTGCATCCTGCAGGAGTTTCTCAGCGTCCTTTTCGCTCTTCACTGATTTCTCCTCGAGATTTGATATACAATTACCATACAGAGGGTTCGATCCAAAGCGAACAGGCTTGGCCTGTGCAGATGAACTGGCGAACAAGTCTTTGGCAGAGTCAGGTGATGGCATCGCGACAGCAGTCATATGAGCATGGTACTTGAGCCCCTTCGCCCCTTCATCCTTTGCAAGCTTTGCCATGATGGCTTTCATGAATGTCTGTGCAACACCCAAGCTCGTATCCTGAGCGTTCTTGGTGCTAGCCAAGATAAGAGCAACATTGTGACTTGCTTCCACTTGTTGGAGAAGTTCTTTTAGCAGAATGGAATTTTCAGCTGTCACCTTGCTCGCGCGTAACACTTCATCCGCCTCAAAATCAACCATCCTGCCATCGGAGTCCTTAACTGTGACCTTCTTTTCAGCTTCCTTTAGAGTGACCTTGGAGTCAGCGTTGTCGGTTACTGCCACCAAGGAAGGAATATGATCCTTAGAAGTCGTTTGGCTCCGCAGAAGGTTAGAACCGCTTTGGCTCCTCACAACGGTGGGTTGTTCTCGCTGAACACCATTGGTCACAACGGTGGGTTGTGCCCCCTGAACACCATTGGTCACAACAGTTGGTTGTGCCCGCTGAACACCATTGTTCGATGACGTTAGAATTGGTTGCAAATTTTTCTTTTCTTGGTTTTCTCCAGAAATAGGAGCCGAAAGGTTTCCGACACCTAACAGGCTAATCCCTGGTCCTCCATTCCCGTATATACTCCCCAAACCGTACATGCTGTTGATGCCCCTCTGGCCACCATACAGAGAACCACCATGTCCAGACTGAATCCTTTGTATGGTTCCTGTGTACATTGGAGGCCTATATACAGAATTCATACCTGTTTGAGAACCAAACATAGAAGGCATACCACCTCCCATTCCATACTGGGGTCCATAAACACTTGTCATAGGTCCACCTGGTCCATACATACTTCCCATACCCATTTGGTTACCGTATGCAGAGATCATTGGTCCACGTTGACCATACATACTTCCCATACCCATTTGGTTACCATATGCAGAACCCATTTGGCTCCCCATTCCACTTGGGCCATACATGCTTCCCATACCCATTTGGCTACCGAATACAGAGCCCATTTGGCTCCCCATTCCACCTGGACCATACATGCTTCCCATACCCATTTGGCTACCGTATGCAGAACCCATTTGGCTCCCCATTCCACTTGGACCATACATGCTTCCCATACCTATTTGGTTACCGTATGCAGAACCCATTTGGGGTCCTGGTCCACCTGGGCCATACATGCTTCCCATACCCATTTGGTTACCGTATGCAGAACCCATTCGGCGTTCTGGTACACCTGGGCCGTACCCATTTATTCCAGCAGAACTCCGTCTCCCTTGAACATATTGGTATGTACCCGCATTTGGTGCTTCTTGGTAGGAAGGATTACTTCCACCCGTGATACCGCCCTGAGCGTTGTTCATGGATGGAGGAACTTTGTTGAAGTCATTGTCGTTGTTGCCGTTGATGCGTTCTGTCCCAACCTTTGAATACGTCCCTACCGGTGCTTGTGAATTTCCGGCACTTGGACGAGATGCACCATCGCTGACCCGCCGTTGCATAACAGGTCCATCTTTTCTTTCACTTGAACCTTTTAAAGCGGTTGAATCGTCTTTGACATCCCCCTTGCTTGTCTTGGGAGGGACCCCCTTATCAGACTTACCAGTGGATGATGTTTTTGAAGATTTCCCTCCCAATTTTGAAGATGAGGAAGACCCTTTCCCATCTGTCTTAGACGATGACGATGATTTCTCCTTCTTTATGGGTTTTGAGTCTGATAACTTTTCTCGTGAAGTGGAGGAACTTTCCGATTTATCGGTTTTGGAGGAAGACTTTCCAAAGAGAGGCATTTGTTTTACCGCCTTATGGTTGCTTTTCCTGTCATGAAAGTAATTAAAAAAAAAAAAAAGGGGGAGGGTAGATGTGGTAGGGTATAGGGGATTGTTAAAAAGCAGTTCACATACACATGCCCAGAGAAAAACTAAGAGATCGGGAATATTGAGGAGCTAAGAAAACAAAACAACAACAACAAGAAAAAAAATTCTCCCCATTCTGCCATTGTACCCGTTGTTATGTTTTAGGGATTATGGCCCTCCATAAGAAATAAAGGTTATCTTTCTCCCTGGGATCACAGTTACCTTCAGCATCTAAACTATACTCACTCACCACCATTTAGATCTCGTCCACTACAAAGGTTTTCCCCTCTATCAACATTCACTTTAATTGACATGTTTATTTCCTTTTTTTTTTTTTTTAATTTGCCTTACTTCTTCCCATTCTTACACACGGAATGGAATTTCCCATTTTCGAGAGAAGTGTTGTAAAAAAGGCAACTTTACAATCATATCAGTTGAACTGAAAACAAAACAAAAATAAATAGAAATCGTCAAAAGACCAAGAAAAAAAAAAAAAAATGCATATGTCATGAGATCAACGAAAAAAAAATAAATAAATAAAACAAAAGAATGGTTTTTATAGCGTCAAACCATGTTTATGCTCTGTGCACGTTCAGGAAACAACGATCATGTACCATCAAGCACCAGAACTCGTGCAGGAACACTGTACACCAAGAAATAATAAAATAATAAAAATATCAATGACAACAGAAATAACCTGAACATATAATAAACCACACACAAATATATATACATATATATTGTAGTGAGTAGAAATCGTTGTATAATAAATTACCCGACAGAGGACCAGGAGGAGAAAGGAGGGACGAACAATGAACATAACAGAATAAAGACGAAGGAGGATAAAATGAGCGCTGTCAAACGCCCTAATGGAACATGACACTGGGGAGGAAAAACAAATATATATATCATAAGGCCAATTTCTTTCTTTCTTTTTTTTTTGAACATGGAAAAAGAGATCTACAAGAACGAAAAAAAAAAGCTCATTCGCTCGCATTTTAACGTTCCTATCTTATCCCATTTATAATTTCATAACTTCATTCTCTCTCCTTTTCTTTACGCTGCCACTTTTTTTTTTTTTCCTTTTTATTTCCTTTATGAGTAAAACACAACAGATGCCACCACCTTATTTCCCTAACACCATCCATCTAAACCACACTGCCTTACTTAACAAGAAGTTTCTGAAAACTCATAAGAGTTGCCAATTCGAGTGAGGAGTCTTCGCGATGTCCTTCAACACATATAACCGTATTGAGGCTCTGCTTGCCACCAAGATTATTGTTTTTTTCATTTGCCAATGACGCCATCTTCTTTTCGCTCTCCTTAGCCCACTTCACCATCGCTGCTCGAAGATCAAGAATACATAGAGAAGCAATAGGAAATTCTTCACGGCGTTCGCTAAAAATAAAAACATTGTATACAAAATAGTTTTCTTCTTCTTTTTCTTGGAGAGCCATTTGTTCATTTTGACGTTTAGAAATGGTTTCAAAAAGTGAAGTAATCTCATCTACACTTCTTATATTGCATCTGGATGTGCCTTGCAAACGAAAGCATTCTTTAGAAACACTAGTACAGAAAATAATTTTAGGCACCCGTTTGGGTGGATCTGAACAAAGATCAATCCCTTCATTTGTACAGTTGCCTGTCATGAGTGCACATGAGATGGAAAGCCACGATCGTCGTTTTTCGGATTGCCGAAGAGTCATCATTGAAAAAGCTTTTTTCAGTAACGTACAAATAGAAGCAGTGGAAACGGTACCAGAGCGAATGGTACCTCCCGAAATAATTAGACAATCTGAACCACTAATAAATTGTTCCACAATTTTTTCAAGTTCGTGTGAGGAAAGATTCTCAGAGAGTGGTGTTCCTTGTGCCGTTATCCGCACAACTTCAGAGAGAGAAAAAGTTTTCTTTGGTTCCATGATTTTTACAACATGATTCCCTTTCGACCTCCATTTATCTTTAACCGTATCAAGAAAGGCTACAGTACGTAATGTTGAAGATTGATGACAAGAATTATAAATTAACTGAACCATATCCAGTGTAAAAGGGAATCCTTCTACATTTTGTTCAGAATGAATCTCATGTACCTGTAGAGGTTGCTGTTGTTGTTGTTGCTTTAACAAAGTGTTGCCTTCCATTTCAGAGGGTGAAAAAATAGTTTTACTTGTATCTGATAAAACTATTTCAAAGTACTGTAAATAATTTTTTGAACCAGATACTGTACTTGTTTTTTCTTCCGTCGTTAATAATGGTAATCGAAATATTTTTTTCCACCCTGTCACGCCAGGTTTTGAAGTACATTTCTGACGTTTTAACATTAAAGCTAAACTACCTTTATATGGTTCAACACTTAAACAAGTACAAAGTTGTTTCTGTACCTGCAAGAAACGAATTGCAACACTTTCGTCCATTCCTTCATGATATACAAAAAGAGACTTTGCAATACTTCCACGTTCCTTCACGACGAGATAAATTAATGATAACCATCCTTCATTTTTTAATGGATTTAATTGTTTTGGTAAGATAGGGTCATAAAAACGTATAGCCTCTCTAACAGAAAAACCAACCAGAGATGAAAGCACCACATCGTGGGGTTCAACAGTTCTAGCAAGAACTGTCAACATAACGAAACTATTCGGCCCATCTTCTTTATCATATTTAACAAACAAATTTGAGAGATTAGTCTCAACTCGTTCTGTAAGTGCAAGCATTTCGTGTATATGATTTACATCTTGCCATACCACACCTTCTTTAATGGTTGCCCCAAAAAGTGGATTAGGAAGTACAGAAAGTTTTGAACATGATAAATTCTCTGATGGGGAAAGAAGATCATACACATTATTATCATGAGAAACAAAAGCAAGCGAAAAACTAATATACGTTTTTGCTTGTTTTTCTTCTAAAGCCATACAAACAATATCCAATAATACCGGTTCTCTCATAGACAATCTAGCTTCTGAACACTCTGCCGTAAGAAGTGTAGTATTATAACCTTGAAGGAACTTACTGACGAGTTCCTTTAGAGAATGAGAAGCTTTAGGCATATCAGATGTTGAGGTAACAGCACAATTAAGTGTATCAAGAATTGTAATCACAGCTTCTTCACCCTTTACACGAATACCTTTTTTTGTAACTAAAACTTTCTTTTCAGTTGAGGGACCTCCACGAATGACTGCAGCTAATGGCTGAATTGGGGTATATTTTTTCATATCTGCAAATGCAGGTTTTTCAAAAGTCATACAAACACGTTCAACAACTTCATCTAAACGTTTGGAATAAGTTTTCTGAACGTCCATATCATCATTTCGCGGCAAAAATCGACCCTGTATAGCAATGCTATTTCTCTCCAATGTGTCCTCTGTGGAAAAAGTAAGAACAGAGGAGATACCAAGAAATAATGGGCGAAACTCTCTTGAAGAGGTTCCAATATTAGGATAGGTCATTTGACTCAGTACATTACTCGTTGTAAAATGAAGTGGCGGTACATTATTGTCTTCTGCTACCATAATTTGTGATTCTTTTTCTTTTTCTTCACGTTGTTGTGGTTGTGGTTTACGTGGAGGAGGAGGAGGAGGAGGAAAAACTGCTGGCTCTTGCGAAGATAAAGGTTTTTCTGAAGAGATCGTTTCGCCTCTTGGCATTTTAAAAGAGAGTCTTATATTCCTCTCATTACTATTAGGGGCCATTAGTATAGCTGCATTAACTTGATGTTGAAAAGATATTTGTGGTGTCATAATATTATATGTCTCATTATCCACCATTGCCATGGGATGAGCAAGGAATGGGGAATCCAATAAATCATTAACAATACTTCGCATACGTTTAGCCAACGTTAGCGCTTCCGCAATATCTCGTGAAGTAGCCACATCTGGATTACGAAGAATAAGATGTCGTTTCTTTCCTGTAAGTTGTCTTATGTTCTTCATCCTCCTTGAAAGTAGTTCTTGTAGATAAAGATTACATCTTTCTGTTAAATATTGCTGGATTCGCCGCATACTCCATAGTTCCGTTGCACACGGTTTATGTGTGTGCCTTAATAAATCCTGTGTATCCAATAATGCCGGTGCGGTTAATGAAGTACTACTAACATCTGTTATGCAAAGTGTAAAACATCTATGTACACATTGATAAATATTTTTGCCGTGATCCATAGGCCGATAATCTTCAATCGCAAGCGATCTATAAGCCTCTGGTCTTGTTGCCAGAGAGAGTGTTAAGGATGAAAGAACCACATCATCACGGAGTTCGGAAGATTCCATAGAACGAACTGAAACCGACTCATGTATCACTACACGTTTAAGTAAAAAAGATAAAATAATATTAACACTTCCAAATGAGGTGGTGGCAAATAAATTTGAGTTTTTTCGTACTTCTTGAATAATTTCACAAAATTGTTTTTCTGAATTTATACACACAAAGGTGGCATCACAAGCAACTGGACCTGCTGGTGTCCATGCGGTACGAAATGGAACAGCAGGGATTTGTTTACGTGGACCCACACGTTGGCCGAGATGATCCCGCAAATATTCCCGTGATTGCACTTGCACAACAGAGAGATAAAGTTCACTTCCAGCCACATGTGTTAATGTTTGCGAGGCTACAAGTCCTCGTAATGTGAGCCAAATGGGAGAAGTAAAGATATCACCTCTTTCATGACTATCATCCCGGGTTAAGAGAATCAATGTATTGTAACCCTTTGTAAAGATTGAAAAGGCATGTGAAAGGAGGATAGAAGTTGGACCTTCTTGTTTTATTTTATCACCAAGAACATCATTACTACCAATATTGGTTTTTGGGTTTCTTGGCATTATACAGATTTCATCAAGAGAAAATTCATTTGATATTCCTGGTAAAGTTTCTACAACCACATTTTTTGCATCTTTCACAGAAACAACTTTCCGTTGTTTTGCGTTTTCCACAGTTTCCAAAAGAAGAAGAGAATAAACATGATCCTCAGAAGTTTCTGTTTTAACTGAACCTTTCTCCCTCCTTCGTGTAAATTCAGTGAAAAGTGGTTCAATACCTCCCGCAGGTACCCCTAATACTCCTGCGAAAAGGTTTATTGTAGTTTTTTTACGGACCCATTGAGATGTAATTTTTTCTATTGATTTCTCAATAACCGTTGATTTTCTTCTTGTTCGCTTCCCTTTTCGTAAACATGCTTTTTCTGATTGTTTTTTGGATTCATTTGTCTTTTTTACGGTAGTTTCACAATCAGGAAAACACGGAAAATCACCTAATGGAGTTCTTAACGCCAAAGAAATTTCATCTGAAAGTATTCGAAGGCGGTTTAAAGTCGTATCTAAAGATTTCTCTAATGAGTATCCTTCACTCATAGTGAGTTTCTCTGGACTATTAAGATTATTATTACTATTATTATTATTATTATTATTATTATTATTATTATTATTATTATTATTGTCAACCTTTTTAGCACGTAGGTCTTCCATACAATAATCAATATATGAGCGTAGACTTGGTGTTTCATGTTCATTATATGGATTCTTTGTGGTAGAATGAAGAAATTCTTTCACTTCTGAAACTAACTGCATTTCATCTCCCGATAAAGAGACCCCTTTGATTGTTAATGGCATTAATCCAGAAAGGGCAACTCTTGGATTTCGAAAAACTGATCGAAGAAATGAGGAAATAAGAGGGGGATGTCGTCTGCTAACGGCTGTGTGAATAGTTTCTGCTGTTGACACAAGAACATAGGATGAGGAAACAAGAATATCATCACCTTCCTTTACTAATTGACGCAACACAGCATATAATAATATAATACCAGAGCGACGATCATCAGTGGTTGTTCTTTTAAAGGCTTTACGCACTAATCCCTGAACATCTTCGAAGGATGAAACTTCGTGAATTTCAGTATTGATAAAATGTGGCCCAAACAAAGGTGAATAAACCACATTGGCATTTGTATAAATTTCAGAGACACTATTATTATTATTATTATTGACATTAAGAGGCAAAAGTTCTTTCACTTGGTCGTGTTTAACAAGTGAAAAAGATAATTGCATAAAAAAACTATGACTTTCGACTTCTGAAGACTTCAGTTGTCTAAACAATGATGAGAATAAATTTCCAATGGTGGTAAACATTTCAGGTGGAACATCCATTCCAAAACTGTCTATGGAAGCCATTGGAAACACAAAAATTACTGCCATATTCCACCCATCTACAAGTATTTCTCCTACATCACCTAATGAAGATTCACCATTAATTTTGATTTCATCTGAAGGAGTAGAACTCGCACTAGATAATTTTCTCCTTACCGGACTAACACCATCACTCCTCTTTGTATCAACTACTTCAACAAATTTTTGTCGTCCACTTCTTTCTCTTCTTTCTGATAAATAAGTACCTTTTAGACGTAAACCAGATAACATTGAGTGCATGTAAGAAGCTGGTGAGGATCGACCTGTGGGCAAAAAATCTTCTTCAGAAGATTCATCATCCATATTCAATGCATTTGGAGGTATTGATCCAACAGGAGAATTTAAATAATTTTTCTTTTCTACTGGCGATTCATCTGATGATGTTCCCGCTACGAATCGTCTTGAGTCTTCAAGATATTGATGACCCACCATTGTTCCAGACATGGAGAACAGTGAGGATGGTGATGGAGTTTCACGAACACCTGTTGAATGATCCCCCGACCAATCTCCAAAATGACTCGTCGTCCCTACAAAATATGTTCCTTTTGATCCCGTCACTGATTTCTGTAAATCATGCACGGAACCACCCACTGAGACATATGAACCGGCGTCAGGAGCGGAAGCAGTTTTATCTAAATGACGACCTAGAGGTGGTAAACCACCAGACGGATTCGATTTATTCGGTTTAATAGCCAAATTAGCCTCATTACTACGGCTTGAGAGAGATAACCTTCTGTCACCTTTACCCTTATTTTGCGGTAAATTATTTCTAGAGTCTTTGTTGCCAGAGCCACTCCCTAATCTCATGTATATGTGCCGGTAGTGAAGCTTTTAGTAGAGTCCGAGGGGTTATTTTATTTTTCTTTGTCTGGTGGGTCAACGTGATTGTAAATATATATATATGTTTATATATATATGGGTATGTATACACTAGATAGAAACACAAATAACGTGTCCTATGACCTTTTTTCCTTTTAAATCTGTTTATGTCACTGTAAGTAATGTATTTTATATCTACACGTGTTCGTCCCCGCTGTAAAGGTATTTCCTACTTCCATAAGGAGAAAAAAAAAAAAAAAAATAGCAAAGGGGAGAGAATGTTTAGAAAATATGAGTTAATCTCATTACAGCAACATCGAAGAGGAACAATATATATATATATATATACGCCAACAATGAGCCATCCTTCTCATGGTTTTTTATTTTTGTTTTTCTTGCTTTCTTTCGCAATAACATACCAGCAGAATGCTGGTAATATGTATAAAATGTAAACGGATGACAACGGTGTGGTTTTCATCGATGTTTTCCGACAGTCAACCACCAAAACAAAACAATAAAGGGAGGGAGGGAGGAAGAAAGGAAAAGAAAGAAAAAAGGAAATGTTGTGCAGATAAGAATAAACCCCAGCGTGGAGTTACACACAGCACGTAAATTTTTTTTTCCTTGGACGAACATATATATATATATATATATATATATATATATAAACAATATATTACCGACATGCTACCAAGAGGGAGAAAGAAAAAAGGTAGATCATATCATGAAAGACACAAGAAAAACACCTTAATAAAAAAAAAACCAATTTGGAATAAATCATTCGAGACAACTACGCACATTTATGCACAAATGAAAAAGAAATCAAAAATAAAATCTCTCTCTATGATCACATAAACACATAAAAAAAAAAAACACATACATACACACATATGGGAAATGCCAGTAAAGAAAAGAAGACCAAATACAAATAATGATCTCATAAAAGTTTGACTTTTCTTTCTTTTTTTTCCCCCTTTCCTCCACTCATTCTTCGCTCTTCTTCTACAAGCAGCCATTTCCACGAGTTAATACTCCTCCAACCGAGACACACACCCACACAGGCAATAGAAACAAATAAAACATTTCAATAAGAACATCAAACAATAATTTGCGACAGTCAATAGCAATAATTGTGAGAACCAATGTAGTTCTTACACTACACCTCTTTGGTTTTTCTTTAGCAAAAAAAAAGCAAAAATCAACTGCGAAGTCAAGCGTGAGCGAGGAAAATAGTGATACACATACATGCACGAACACAAAGAAAGAAACACCGCAAGAAAACAAAAAACAATTACATGACAATATGAAGGTTAAAAAAAGAAAGAAAGAAAAAAACAAAAAACAATTACATGACAATATGAAGGTTAAAAAAAGAAAGAAAAAAAAGAAAAAAAAAAAGAAAAGAATGGTCAGTCAAGTAAAGAAAAAGACCAAAAACACCTTCCTACATTTGGGACCCAAGTGGAACAAAACCCTTTTCTCTCACTGGAACTTCCAGGGTTTCCACTGCTTCCCGAAGGTAACCTTCAGCTTGGGCAATCTTTTCTCGAATATAATTTTTTTGCTGTTCATCCTCAGTTGATTCTGCATGATTACGAAGCATCGTAATTCCTTTTTTTAAATCTCGTATATGTTGCTTAACAGTTACAAGAGGTGAAGGACGATTACGTATATGGGCCAATTCCATTTGAATAGAAAGTAATTTCCCTACATCCTCATCTTCATCACATAAACCAAGCATGGCAACCGTGAAACATGGACCACCAAGTGCATTCTTAAAAAGATCTGTTGGTTCATTGGGATCATTTTGAAGAACTCCTGCATAGTGAGAGACATTATCAAATACAGTTGTTGCCATAAAAGAAGATACAAGCACGTCACTCTCTGGTTTTTCAAAGTATTGTGTAAGTATGAGAGAAATTACCATAATACCAGGATCTTCAGATCGTAATGCGGGAGCAGCACGATCAACAGCAAAAGCGAGAAGATGGTCAAATTTTTCAGCAGTATTCACAATATGATATGAAACACCACGTAATCGTCGACCATATATTGGTGTTGTTTCTACTTCAAAGCGATGAAATATATTATCTTCATCTTCAGCTAATAAATCAACTGTTACATCATCCTTAACAAGCGCTATGGATGCAAGTAATTCCGCATTTGCTGGTGCAGACTCAGAATCCATTGTTAAGTTATATAAAATGAGATACGCTATTTTTCGGAGAATAAGAGGTGTTACGGCAGAACTTCTACTATCAGCAGAAAGAAGAGCTGTATTTTGCCCTGAAAGAAATTTAAGAACAAGATCATCTATCAGTTGAGATGGCAAAGAATTACTACCAGACTCTCTTTCTACTACTTCATCTACATCATAACGACAGACATATTCTCCAAGACGTGTCAACACAGCATTTCCCTGAACTGCTATAGAACCATTTCCAAGAAGTCGTTGTTCACAACAAACAAGTGAACGAACCTTTTCTCCATCATTAGCGTTGGTCGAAGTTACTAACGGTGGTTTTCGTTGACTACGACTATCCCTTATTTTTGATGGTTCTGTTTCATTAAGATACGCCTTTGGTTCACTATTCCAAAAATCTTTTAATAGGGTTTCCGCATCTCGTGCCATCTCCCCTAGACGCTTTAGAATGATTCTTGTAGATTCAGCTTCATCGCCATCTTGTTCTTGTAGTTTCTTGCGTAAACTGGGTTCAAGATCATTATGAATCCCACTAATAAATTTATTAATACTGCCTGGATGTGTTGGACGGTTTAATACTTCTCCAAGACGTTTCTGTACGGCAAGCATTCGGTTTGCCCGAGTCTCGGCTCCACTAAAACCAAGCAGGGCCACTGTATAACAGGGACCTCCCAAGGCGTAGTGAAATAATGGACGAGGGACAAGAGGACTACGATCTAACACAGCTGCATAGAGTCCAACATTTTCTCCTACAAAACAAGTAACGAGGGATGATATCAAAACATCTTTTAATCCCTGTTGTTTTTGTTTTAAAACAATAGATACAAAAACAACTCCATATTCACGTCCTTTTTCTGCAGCACGAGTAAGAGATGATGTTAACATGGAATCAAAAAGAACAGCACTATCAACACGAAGACGAGTGACATTGTGTACACAAGGTCCAAAAATAGGAGAAATAGCTATTACTAATTTTTGCGCTGTACTATTCTCTTTAAGAAGATCAAGAACTGTCTCACCGTTTAACTGAACTATTGATATACTAAGTGTACCTCTACACTTTGGGTGAGGGGAATCAGATTTTTCAGTAATACCTTCCAGTACTTCACGAACAACACTTTTTAATGCTATCGTTGATAACGCAGAAGAACGACTGTCAGCAGCAAGAATAGCTGCATTACATCCTAGAAGAAATGTATCACGTAACTCATTTAAAACTTTTGACTGTACACCCTCAGAATCATCTGAACGTTCAACTACTTCATCTACTTCATACTCTTCAAAATCATCATCTGTCATTACAATAACTGTTGTTTCATCATGAGTTACATTAGCTGATTCATTACATCCAGAGTCTACCATGACGAGAGTTCGTACTTTAGATAAGCTAGGAATTGAACTATCAGTAGAGGGAGCATACTTTCTCCCGGAACTTTGCTCATTCTCTTCACCACTGTTAACAAGATGATGATGATGAATATTACCATTATTACCCTTCCCGTTGACGTTCCTCTCCCCTCTTTCTTCATATTCGTCACATTCTTCTTCAACGTACTCCTCTTGTTCTGTGAGAGGAGTTCGTACAGCATTCTCACCCATACCTTTTGCACGCGAGAAATGTGAGGTAGAAGGACACATCTCTGGACTGATACTTCCACTTAAAGTCATTTCAGATCCTTTAGATAATGCCTCAAGATCTCTAAACATTGGTTTCTGCAAAGGAACCTCCGTACGATTAATATACCTTGTACTCGCTGTTGCACCAACAGTAGCAGAAACGGAAAGTGAACGTATTAAAGGTGTACTGGAATTTCGACAAAGATTTAACGGGACATCCCTTGTCACTCCTCCTTCTAGCAATCTTCTCTGCAGAGTAGAATTCTGATGACTCATTAATGAGTTCTCAGACTTGATACGAGATAGTTCCCTGCAAGGAGGAAGTTTAAGAGGTATTGGGACCCGTACCGGTTCACATGGAATCCTTTGACTAGATATTGCAGCATTTGAAGAATTCTTTACCATTGTTGGTTCCTTCCCTCCTGGGTGGGATGTGGAAGAAATTTGATGACGTCGACCTTCACGTCGCTTCACAGGCTCTAGTGCGAGTGCATCTAAACCGCCTTGACTAGTTGTTGTCGTCGTTGCTTGAGGAGGAGGAGGAGGTGGATGAATATTCTTATGGGCATTTGTACTGGGTACAATCATTTTATTCAGAGACGTGGAAACACTAGCAAGAGTTGGAAGTACACATTTATCTTTTGAACCATTTACCGTTTTGGGTGGTAATCCATTTTGGGATACTTGCACAGGGGACTTGGATGTGGGATGGGGTTTCTCCATAGGAGGTGGTAGCTTTAATTTCTCCTGTATAATCATTGGTGATAGACGTGAGGGTGGTTGATTAATAGGTTTCTTTAATGGTGTATCCTGACTTATCAAGGAATTCCCTGAACTAGGTTTCTGTCTTTGTAAGTGTTGTGGTGGCGTTTGTAGTTGTAGTGGTTGTTGGAGTGGTTGTGGTTGTTGTTTTTTTCCTTGTTTGTGTTCTTGTACAGTATCCATAACTGCTATTTTCTTACTCAAGAGAGGAGCATTAGGATCCTTAGAGGAGGATTCCTTACAACCATCGTTCTTAACATTGGTTTTCTGGGTGGAATGACGCTTGCTTAACTCATTCACGTCTTCCCCTGGAACATATTTTTTAGGATCAAATAAAGCACGTTTTAACATTAAAACTTGTTCTTGCAAATATTTACACTTTAGCAGTTTAGCCTTATCGTTCCTTTTGCAACTAGCTAATTCCTCTTCGGCCCTTTCAATGTACCGTTTCGCACTTCCTTGGATACCAGGTCTATTTTTGATAGATGCAAGTTTGCGTTGTGTATTCATGAGTTGCACAACACCTTCATCTTCTTCATCAAGTGCTAAAACGGCTACTGTAAAGTATGAACCACCTAAAGCTCCATTAAATAAACGATTTACTTCTCGACCATCTTTTCTTAATACCCCATTAAGGTAATCTACGGAACAGTTACCACTTGTAACCAACATAGATGATAAGATTAAATCATTTTCCTTTATCTGTTTTAAAACAATAGATACAGCGATAAAACCACTATGATGAGTCTGATTAAGTCTGGCCAACTCCCAAGCATGTGCAAGAAGTTTAGAAAAGTGTTTTAAGTCCTGTAATTTGGTATAGGAAACATTATCAAGGGTAACATCCAGTAATGCTGAAAAGTTAAACGTTGTCCTTACCATTCTTCCAGATTCAGAAAGAAGGTCCTGTGTAAGCCCTTCACGAACAAGTGCAACAGAGAGAAACAACTCACTATCTTTATCAAGGTCACGAAACACACCTTCCATTACTTCACGAACAGCTCTCCAACTCAATAATAATGCTGATTCACTTCCTGCCAAGAACATAGCTACATTAAAACCTGAAAGAAATTTTCGTTTCAATCCTAAAAGGGTTACAGAGTAAAGATTTTTATCATCACAAGATTCCAAGTATTCATCAACCTCAAAATATCGTGGCATTTCATGAGATTGACGTATTTCTATTATTTTATCACTTTGCAAAGCAATATTTACGCGTCGATTTCTTTGCTCTTCTGTTGATTTTTGCACAATTACCAATGAACTAACATGGAGTTTTGAGTCGATATTATCTTCCCTACGAGATGGTACTTCTGGTTCTATAAGTGTATCATTAATATACCGTTCTTCAAGTTGTTGTTCATCAAGATATGGGACGGCTACATGAACCAAAGGTTTTGTACTACTTTTTCTCCGCTCATGAAATATACGTCGTCCAGAAGTTGCATTTGATGCACGTACCTCTTCTACAGAGGAAGTACATACTTCAGTATGTTTTAACTCTGGTGGTATTATTTCTTTTTTCACTTCTTTTTCCATTGATGATACTTTGGCACGACGTTTTTCTAAAAATGCTTGCACACGAGCTCGTCGTTCTTCATTCTCTTTTTGTTGTTCTTGTAATTTCTTGATTTGATTAGTATCAGACTTTTCACAGGCATCTGCTTTTTTGGCATATCGTTTATCAATAACTACCATCCTTGAAACACGCCGTTCAGCTTTATCATTAGCTCGTTTTCGTGCTTCCACAATACGTTGCTCTTGCTCTCTAAGATCTTTCTCTAACCGGTTGTAAAAATCTTGTTCTGCTTCTGGTGTCATTGTAGGAGGTCCAGTGAACTTTGAGAGTTCTTTACCAGTAACAGTGCGTGCTAATTGCGGAAATAACGGAAGATCATCTGATGACAAAAACATGGCATTACCTCTAAGACCCTCTATAGAAGGATATTCCATACTGTCTATTATGTCATCAAAATAATGACGTTTTTCTTGTTGCGTAGTCGGTGATACTTCACTTATTTCTGGACCTTCAAGCCTACCCGATAATGCAGTATTTCTCTCCGATACTCTCTTTGTTGAACTCCCGCCACGAGAAGGTTTTACAGTAAACTTTGGCCACATAAGAGATTCACGTAAAGTATCAACATCGAAAACAGGGTACTCCATATCTATATTTTTTTTATTTTCTCCTGTGGGAGAGGCCTTTTTATTTTCCTGAGGCTTAGATGATGTAGTAGTTAAGGATGTTTTTTTTCCTTGTGTGATTGCTTCATTTTTTAAATTAACAGAATCTGACTTTTTTCGTTTGGGTGAAGCTGAAGATGGTAATGACAATTGCGGTTTAATATGCGAAGTTGACTCTCCAGTTAATACAGCTTCTAAATTAGCTGCATCCATTTTACGAGTAGTGCTGGAATTCATATTTTTCCCCCCATAATTAACACTATTATCATTTTCTTCAAATAGTTGACTAAGGATGAAACCCATTTCCTGCATGTAACCTCGAGCTTCTCTTGCGAATGCTTCTCGTTTATCAGCATATTGCTCTCTAGTAGAACCTTCACCAGATGATCGACGTCGTTCTGGAAAGCCAAAAGGTGCTAAATTCGTACGTCCCTTTACTGCATCTCCAAAGATATTATCACTCTTTTTGCGGGTACCACCACTACTACCACCACCTCCACCACCTCCTCCTCTTGCATTAGAGGTATTGTTTTTTGTAGAATATGTTTCTGTTGATATTGTCGCGTTTTCTATACCGTCTAAATCGTAATAAACATCTTGTGATTTACTTCGTATCTCTTGAAAAAAAGAGGGAGCTGCCACTAGAAAAGAAGGTTGTGGTCCAAATCCAAACTGAACACAATGAATAAGAGCATCTAGACCATAACCAAAGCCTGACTCTTTATCGTTCCAGTTATCCAATAAACCTAGAAGAGGTGCACTATATCCGTAATCGTGACTACCCTTGTTAAGTAAAGGTGACGATGTCAAAGGAACAGTTTTACCACTAGTTTGTGGAGCATTATAATCAAAAACAGGATAATCTTGCATAGTATATTTAAAATTGACCCCATCTTGGACATTTAAAGATGATACAAATCTCTCATCATCTCCTTCCATGGCACCACCGTAACAGTATCCACCATAAGAGAAATCATCTGCAATAAAATTGATTTGATGGTCATCTTTATGACTATGCTGATCCGTACTATGGGTATTACTCACGGTACCACTATTATCCTTTTTATCAGGAATAGACCCCTTATAAAATTGATCACCAAAATCAACATAGTAGTCTTCTGCTTCACTAGACGGTATACTAAAATCAAAGGCAAACATGAATTTAGTATATCACTGGAATTCTTCACCTCTTTTATTTACGAATATCTTTCGATATTCCTTCCCCTTTTCTTAAAAAATCTATGGAATCAATGTTAAAGAAAAGAAAAATAAGAAAAAAAAACAAGAACAGATACTTTAAAATTTTTGTTCGTCATTACTATCCTCTATTCCAAGACTTTATGGAATGTCAGTTATGAAGAGAAAATTAAAAGAAAAGCTTCATCATGTTACAGACAGAAAGAGAGGTAAACAAAACAAAAAAAGAAAGGAATTAGGCTCCGAGATCATAAAAAAAAAGCCAGCGTTTAACTAAGAAGACCATCACAAGAGAGAGTACTGGTGCTATTACACATCCCTCAAAGCAATTACAAGGAAAGAAAAAACACAGTTACGGAGACAGAGAGACATATATATATATATATATATATATATATATAACAATCACGCATAGTTTTTTTTTTTTTTTTTAATGCTGGCAAAGAGAATGAATTAGGCACATGAAAAAGTGAAAAAAAAAGAAAAACCAAGAGAAGGGGAAAAAGGAAAGAAACAGAAAAAAAAAAAAAACGAAAAAGTGTCACAGTTCGTTGGCTTCCTTTTCGTAATAACCCAAAAAAAAAACAACTACAGAAAAAAAAAATGACACAAAAGAGAAGTATGAAAATGTGTGCAAAACCACATTTTCAAATTCTCCTTAGAGGTCTAAACACATAAGGCATTAAAACAAATAAAGACTGTAAAGGAAATTAAATAAATAAAAAAAAGCAAAAAAAAGAGGGAAGGAATACGTCAATGTTCTATACGGGGAAAGGAAAAAAATAACCAGCAGTCATATAAGATGTTGATTGGAAAAAAAAAAAAAAAAAAAAACGCCGACCACACAAGAAAGGGAAATAAATTATCAGAAAAAGGTACCTAAACACATATACAATGTGAAATGAATCACTAAGGTTATTTTTAGCCATGTGAGCAAAAGTGTAATACAGTTGTTTTTATCATCAGCTTAAGAAGAAAAATAACCCTATGGTCCTTTCACTATATTTGCTTTTCCGATGTGCAGAGTTAATGTCTCTGAATTTCAGCATTGCGGACGAAAAAGGAAAAAGTATCTTTTTTTTTTCTTTAATAAATGAAAAATTAAGCGTCCAACAGTGATGAATTTCCAGAGATTAAATTTCTGCATTTATTCGTGAAGTACAAGCTCTGCACTACCACTCTTCAATTCCCTTGAATACAAGTCTACCACCCGGGCGACCAATAGTTTCACCACCTCCCCGATCCAGATCACTCCTATGAAGGACGCTTTGCTTGCGAACTAGCGAAGCGACACCCTGTCTATTTCGTCCATCCACAGGAGGAGGAGGAGGGGGAGGGCCTTGAGTCCACCTCCTCTGACTCTGCTCTACATATCTGCCTCCAAAATCGTCAGATTCATCATATCGATTCAAAGTATCAACACCAAAACTACCACAAGGTTGAAGTCCAAAACCGTTAGAACTCGAACCTCTTGTAAGCCGATTTGATGAACCCATAAAGCTATTATCTCTTTGCAATCCATACCCCATAAAGCTATCATTTCTCTGCAATGGTGGACCCATAAAGCTATCATTTCTCTGCAACCCATATCCCATAAAGCTATCATTTCTTTGCAATTGTAGATCCATAAAGCTATCATTTCTCTGTAATTGTGGATCCATAAAGCTATCCTTTTTCTGCAATCCATTTGATTGATACTCCATATAATCATTATCATAAGACATATATACACCATTGTTCTGAGCTGAATTGGGATAGTTCGCATACAATGGAGGTAGTTGAGACTGATAATTCACGGTCGATCGTCGATAATTATCTCCATAATTCGGTTCCGAGCGGTATGATTGAGTTCCAGTAGAATGTCTTCTCCCGTTACGCTGCCCGTTTCCGTTGATTGGAGGAAGGGATGTTGAATTTTGAGTTCCATTCTTTTTCTTTCTACCAAATTTCCAGAACCCCATTTAAAGGAAAAAAACGCCGATAAAATATCCCGAAAAATCCACGTTTAAGAGTGGATTTAAAAATATTCCTTTCTATTAAAAGAAAAAAAAAAGGAAAAGGCAAAAAAAAAACAATTTCAATAAATAGATCATCCCAATCTCACACTCCAACCCTTCTGATCACCAAAAAAAAAAAAAAAAAAATACAAGGGAATAATCCATATTGTATTTAGAATACCTTTTTTTTCCAACGTATTTCAAGAACTAAAGAAATAAAAATAAAAAATAAAAATTAAACATTTTCTCTTTCTTATAGAAGTATCCTCGTTGCATTCTATTACAATCTATAATTAATTCTTTAATAAGGAGTTTTTCTAAATAATAATAATAATAATAATAATAATAATAATAATAATAAAAAGGTCCGACAAAATGAAACTCCCGCTAGATCCGTTAACCAATCTCCCGCTCAAAACTTCGAGGGAGGGTTGGGTAAAGCCTCAAAACTTACCGTTTGTCAATCATATAGAAATAATTTTACTAAAACATACTTTTCCCATACAACAAATTGTTATAAATGAAAAAAAACGCAAGGTCTGACCATTTTTTTTATTTTATTTTTTTTTGCAATCTCTAAAACAAAGAGAGAGATCCACGCACACTAATGCCAGAAAGGGGGGTGGGGGGAATAGATTCCACCTATAATATTAGGAAAATAAAAACAACAGACCCATTACTACAGAGAATAATTCTGGTATCTTAGCAAACAATTTCTCAGGAAAAGAAATAAAAAAACAGAATCAAAAAAAAAAAAAAAAAAAAACAGCTCAAACAACACCGACCTATTTAATAAAAAAAAATATGAAGAAATCCAAAAAAAAGAGAAGAGAAAAAAAAAAAAAAAATCAAATAAAGGTTCTTTTTTTTTTCTTAAAAATAAAGACATACAAAAATTGGGAGGAATCCCGTCAACTTCTAATTTCAAAATGGAAAAATAAAGCTATGGTTTCCCAAAATTCTTCGAAAGAATATAAAAAACAACATTGCTCCTGCAATTCCAAAGCTATTTACTTTATACCGAAATAATAAATAAATAAATAAATAAATAAATAAATAAATAAATAATAATAATAAATAATAATAATAATAATAAAACTATCCGAAGGAGAAAAAAAATTCATCATTTACAAGTCAAAACTAATGATTAAATATTTTTTCGTAACAGAAATAACTGATAAATATTTTTAAATAAAAGGATAACTAAAATTAATTGATTCCCCTCTAGATAAAATTCCCGAGGCCTTAACATTTTTTTATAGTTCATGAAGAAAAGTAATAAAAAAAAAATTTCGGGCAATTTTCCTCAATAATCAAAAACCTATATCCTTCTTTTTCCTCTTGTTTTCAGTGAAACAAGGTGAAAAAAACGTCCTTGACGCTTCAAGCGAAAAACAAATAATCCAGCAAACGGAATTGCGGAAGGCGAATCTAAAACAAGAGAAGCACCACATGAAGAATTTTTTTTTGTTCTTCGTATATTTATGGGTGTTACCAGAGCGGTCCGATCACCGAGAGCAGTTTATATAATGTATTATTGTTATTATTTAAATTATTATTATTATTATTATTATTATTATTATTATTAT